GCAAAGGTCAGAAAAGCAGATGTTATTGTCTCTTTAAATCCACTACTACCATAGCTGCAAATATTTTAATCAGTTCCTTTTAAAAGGGGTAGTCTTATTCCTCTTTTCAATTTCCAAATTATTTTTAAACTAATGTCAAAAGATAATTCTTCATCAGATATAAATGAACATAACTAATAGTTATGCTGCCAACCTCATTGTGGCAGCTTCTACTTTCAATATTTCAATTTTTTTCTTTAATACTTTAAAAGTCCTATCAACATAGTTGATGATTTAAAATGACTATTAATAAAAATTAAAAAGTGATTCAACAGTTCTGCACTGTCAGGCCAGACTGCCAAAGTAGGGCTGAACATTGAAATTACATCCCTAGACCAGGCCAACAGGCTTGGACTAATGGGTTTGCAGTTCTCACTTTAATAGACAAGAAAACAAAAAACTGAAAGCCTTATTTTAAAGACTACAAAGATGTTTGAGTCAGGGTAATTTTCTTGGGGACAGATAGTGGATTTTGTCAGTACTTCAAATAAAGATACATTCTTTGGGAAGAGATCCCAGTGCTTTTCATTGAAATCCTGTAGTTTACAGTGCACAGAGTATTTGGGGGTGAATCCCTCTCTGGTTTCCCAAAGAAGTGCCTGATCTGGATCAGCCTTTTCTCCAACAAGGCCTGAGCAGACAGACTCCACTGCACCTTCCAGGCAGGGCTCCCCTGGGCTCTAAGGAGCAGGAAACTAGTTCTGTGAGTTACAAAAGCAACATCCACAGGACAAACCTGCCCCAGCCCCCCAAACTCTGCTCGAGGCTCCTGCCTGAGCAGTGCCGATAGCAGCCCAGAGAGCCCCTCCCCTCGGTCACCCACCGCTCCAGATGGTGCTTAACCTAAAGCTCCAAAGCAGAAGAGTGGGATGGGGGCTGCTCTAAAACACCAGGGTAAAGATGGTGTGAAGCAATCAGTTCTTGCCACCTTTCTCAGCAAGCTTTCCCACCCAGTCTAGGTGGGATAATCCCACTAAAGTTTACCCTCAGCAATGAATCAACCCCTGGTTGGTAAGTAACAAAACAGCTTAAGTTTGGGGGTTTTTTAATTCTAACTCACTTACATGGGAAAACGCCCATCTGTGGTGAATAGTTTTGAAGGGGCCACAGAAGCAAGTATGTACACCTTTATTTATACACCTTTATTAAGTACTCAGTGGAGGCGAAAAGAACTAATGAACCAGCGTGGAGACACACACTCCTGCCTCCCTGCCCCCATCTAAACAACGGAAGTGTCAGTTTATCCAAAACTCTACAGTGCTCTTAAACTTTTTTCAGAAAAATAATATTTGTGACTTCTGTCACTCCTGCAATATTTCCAGGACTGTGCTGATGTATACAATGACAACTGTCCACAAGAGAAAACCAGTGATTTCTACTTAGAAGCAAAATAAACCAACTGTCCAAACCCAGACTGAACTCAAGTTCCATACTTATGTGCAGTCAGTTGGGTGGCATTTAAGTTGACATACTGAACAGAATGGGCTGATTCCAAGGGGCAGACAGCAGAACTCTCAAGGCACTACACAGGTCAGCAGTGCTACAGCTCAGCACACCAGGAACTGTTCAGGGCAGTCAGCACTTATGGGACAGGAGAAACTGGTACTCAGAAGCATTTAAGTTCATGACTGCATTTCTCCTTTTCAAATCAAGAACAGGATAAAAACCAGTGTGAAAACATTAATTTGTTACTAACTACAAGAGTAAAGCACTGTTTTGAATTAGTGAACGGTGATGGAGTGACAGCAGAAAAGCTTCCCAGAATGATGGACTGACAACACAGGTGAAAGAGTGAGAGAATGAATAAAAACTGCTGGCAAAAGAAAACATTCTAAAAACCCTGACAGTATCATTTATTGAAGCCAAAAGCTGCCCATTAAGTAATTTAATACAAAAAGTAAAACATGTTTAAAAATAAGACATAAAACATGCTATCACAAGCATTCTAAGTCAGCATTCTTAGACTGTCTGGCACAGCTGCTGCACACTCTGACACACCAGATTAAAAAAAAAAA